TAATAAGATCACTGATACCGGTGTTGCCAGTCTATGTGAAGCTTTACAGCATCCAAGCTGTAAGCTAACCACACTAAATCTGGTGGGAAAAAAGAGTATTAGTGAGTCAAGTAAAGAATCTCTTCGAGCCATTCTGAAGAAATACAGACCAGATTTTAAACTTGAAATTTAGACATATAATTATTTGAAGCACTTTCTGTAAAAGTAGGTCGAAGCACCAAACTAATCAACATTAGCCTACCATAGTTTAAATTTTCAGCCAAATTTTGAATGTGTTAGAGCTTAATTTTGAGTCAATGTGAGTGAACGCGTACTCGAAGTATTGTAGATCAATGTGAGTGTATTGTAGTGCATGTTGTAAATAGAACCGCATTGAATAAAGAGTTTGTTGATAGATTGCTCGCTGGGAATATATTGCTTCTTATACCTTTGGTTTGTGGGTTTAATAGCCTGAACCCTTTTACTCTCAAGATCTGATTGTAAATTCTCTTCTCTGGTTGCTTCACATTTCCTCGTTAATCAGTTACGAGAATTTGGTGTAAGATTCTTCTTACCTGTTTGCTGGATAATATATGGATATTATGGGGAGAAGTTGTATGTTAATCACTTCTGGTATTGTCAAGTAGGAGATTGGGGATAACTTGAGATGAGGCCTCTGGGAGCTGAAAAGAGGCGCTAACGTCAAAGCTCCTGGCCCAAAAAAGAAAGTTATTCTTGCACTTGTTCGATTCCGAACTAATTCTTGACGATAGACTGCGACTATAAATTTCATTGCGTGAGCTCAGCCAATTTAGTATACAACACAGGACGTAAGGCCTGACAACGTTTGTTTCTGATTTGTATAAACCGTTTGACGGAGTGTTTCTGGAAAGGAGAGTAGTTGTTTTGTGAGGAGTGACTTGTTTTGGACTTGCCTACCCAGGGAGTGAAGATAAAATAAAAGACGCTCAGCATTGTATTTAAAATACATATCCCTGAATTTGATTGAAAAACGGTGTTGGTCAGGAGAACCACTGGCTCCCGCTGTTTTTTTGCGCACCTGGCTTTCTGTTCGTTTCCAGTGACTTAGCACCTGGCACATGCAAACATGTCCTTTAACCTGGAGTAACTCTTTCTCCATTGATACGTTGACGTCACCCCACCCCCCTCTCTCCTGCTCTTGTATCGTTGTGAGGGTTTTAACAAGCTTGTTCCTGCTGTCCCTTAGCTCTTTAACTCCCAAGATCTGATTGTAAATTCTCCCCTCCAGCTGATACACATTTCCTTGCAAACTGGTTAGGAGAAGTTGATGTTAGATCGAGATAACTTAAAGCTGATAAGTTCGAGTATTCTCCTAACCTGTTTGGTGGATAATGTGTGGATATCATAGGGAGAAGTTACATGTTAATCACTTCCGGGAGTTAAAGGGTTAAATGCTACTTCAAGATTGACAGATCAGAAATTCCAAATGAGTCAGCACTTTAGTTTAATTGTTGATCATATTACCTGCCCTTGGATGATGAAAATTTCATTGCTTTCTTCAAATTAGTCAATCATTGGTTTTTTAAAAAGATTAATGAATGAATAAAGCCTTTATTTAAAAATAAATAGAAATCCCAACATCAGGGTAGTCTCATCAGAACACATGGGGACGATGTGCAACACTGCAATATGCAATGCTACACTTAAAAGATAATTAAAAACTCTTCAAAGAAGTGGTGGTGGCCAGTGGTGATACGGCGGGGTAAGTACCCCGACCGCTAGCCGTTGACACTGAAGTAAATAGTTGTTTTAATATACTAAGGCAATGAGATAATACAGCACAAAAAGAGAATTTAAACCTGCGACAATTACAATATTTTTGGTTACGAATCCCGCGAGAGCGGGATAGCCAATCAGAGTGCGCCTTCAACACCATCCCCTGTTTTAGTTAATACTCAACAGTCTAATTTACAACTTAATTTCCAGTCACTTGCAGTGACGTATCGGGGTCACTAGTAGTAACGATGGACCGGACGTGCAAACGGTAACTTTCATAACTCCCCCGCGAAAATTAATCGCAATTTCTCTTCCACGGAAGGAAAACTTGAATTTGGATATGATGCTATCATTCAATCGAGTTTAAAAACGATCTCACTGGAATGGTTCCTACCATGAGCTCGAAGAATTCATCGAATTTAAATTCGTTGATACCGTCGAAGATGAGGATGGTAGGGATTGTGGGTAAACAGCGTCGTGCAGTAGCTCCTTTGTGGTTTTGAAGTTACTTCTCGTGACATTTGACTTCTATTTGAAAACCAAAACAGTGAAAGTTCAAGGCAGTGGAAGCGGTGAGGTTAGGCAGCTGTATAAACAATAGCCTCCATTTAGCGCGAAAATTTGAAATATAAATTTGTTTGAAACATATGTGTGAACTGCGGTTATGAGACGTATATGAGAACGATCCTTCGCAGTAAAGCACTATTTGAGCAATAGTGAAAATCAGACCTGAAAAAAATTTCAGGCCTGTACGGGACTCGAACCACTGAATTAATTTGATCTTCCCTAAAGTTCCGCACCCAAATATATAGTTAGTGTCCCATTCACACTTCATATTTCCTCCATGGCAACCCATTCAAGGATCTCCATACACATCACATCAGAGGTAGTTTCCCCTGCATAGTTACTCCTTTGCAACCTTGAATACTATCATGATATCCATACTCATCACAGTATAAATAATGTCACTTTAACATATCCTTTACTCTGCCTAAAATTTAAGTAGAAATGAAATAAATATTGTTGGGTCCTGAAACCAAGTGTAACACTGCTTTTTGTGAGACAAAGAATTGAGAAACTTTGTGACAACAGGCTTAATACTTATACTTCAGCTCTCCTATAAGAAAAGAGGATGATTTGCCTAACATTTCTTAACTATCACTACTTTTGATTTGGTTGTAAATCACACTTGTTAGACTTGTGATTAATTTTTTATGCTAGGACAAGTAGTTTATGAACCTTGTTTTAATGTATCTCATTATGTCAATTTGTTTAATTTTTTTTATTTGGTGGTGATTGCCAGCCAACCATTTGAAAATGTATGCCTCTGAAGGTACACAATTCAATGATCAGGGTACAGAATTGAAAATCTTGTGTCTGTGGATTTTGATTTGCAAATTGCACCAAATGTGCTTTATTCCACTCTTACATTTCAATTCCAATTATTTTAATTATTTGTTGTCTTACTTTGAAATAACAAGTTGAGTTTGGATTTAACTTAAAACTGCTGAGGCCCATATTGTGAATATTAAGTCATGATTCAATATTTTGGCAGGTATGTTTACTGGGTACATTTTTTCCAACTTTGTACCTTTTCAGTGAATTTGCAAAGGGGATAAAACAAAGTTCTCAATTTTTTCAACCTCACCCCCCTCTCTCCCCTACTTAAAAGGAATATCGGCAGATGGCAGAGTGTCAGCAAAGTAATTAAAAAAGCTAAAAAATCTGCTAGTTAAGTTAGGGAGGGGGGCTGCGTTGGTAGGAAATTCAAATTCATTACACACACCAATGATTATCTACATGTAGTCATAGTAAGTATTTCGCTTTCATCAGAGACAAAATTTAAAAGAATCATTATTTTGAACAGGTAAACCTGAGAAACCAACTATCACAAATACAGAGAGTGAAGTTGACAATGATTTCACTGTGACCTGGTCAGAAATAAAGGCTAACAGCAGTAAATGCAGCATTAAATACCGTCTGGAATGGACGAAACAACCCATGACACAATTTACAGTACCGGTTGAACGGGGAAACATTGTGGAAACTCACTACAAGATAACTGGTCTCGAGTATGACGCAGAGTACGAAATGAAGCTTTTTGCTGTCAACAAACAAGAAGTCAGTGAGCCAGATGTCAGAACATTTAAGACAAAGAGTGGTAATGCAGTAAATGGTTTGAACCCGGGGGTAACATGTGAAGGTGTAGTCTGATCGTCCGGGTGAGTGTAGTCCTGAGAAGGACTGTTGTCGGTGGCAGTGACTGACGTTTCGACAACCTGTGCGGAAGTCATCATCAGTGTATATGAGAACGATCCTTCGCAGTAAAGCACTATTTGAGCAATAGTGAAAATCAGACCTGAAAAAAATTTCAGGCCTGTACGGGACTCGAACCACTGAATTAATTTGATGGCCTGCTCCCAGTTGGCTTGTAAGCTCAATTGGTAGAGCGCTGCACTAGTATCGCAGAGGTCAGTGGTTCGAGTCCCGTACAGGCCTGAAATTTTTTTCAGGTCTGATTTTCACTATTGCTCAAATAGTGCTTTACTGCGAAGGATCGTTCTCATATACATAAATTTGTTTGCAGACATTGTTTCAATACGAGAACAGTTTTTCAGGAGCAAAGTTCGAGGACACCGAGTTTCGAGGAATATACGAGTACATTTTCGCGCCAAGTGGAGGCTCTTTTTAGTTCAAATATTTTTCAACGCAAGCGAAAAACGTTTATCCTGGACAATCCTCAGGTGTCTACCTATTAAGGCTTGTTAATAAAAAATCTTGAATTGCAATTAATATAAGTGGATTGACAACGCCTCGTTTTACATTTTGGTAGTAGGAACTTCGAACTTCTCCTAAGATATAGTTGAAGGCTTTCATTTCTGGGAGAAGGGGGTGGAATGTATGATTTTTTTCTGTGGCGATCCGTTCGAAGAACTTTGACGTAATGACCTGACGCCTTTCGGAGAGTGGTTGGAGGCCAGCTTCATTAAATGCGCTCTGGATAGCTAATGCACCTTGCACGTGTCTGGAGTTGTTCAAGGTCATTTCTAAGATAATTAGGCAGGCTATTGTGATAGACTTGACAGGCGTACTCTGTTATAGGTCTTATACATGTTATATAAAATTGGGTCAGCTCTTTGCTTGCTACTTTGGAACGTTTGAGTTGTCTCAGGAAATACAGCCTTGATGCTGTTTTCTTTACAATTTCGGAGTTATGGATGTTCCATTTGAGATCACTACTTAGGTTGAGTCCTTAGAATTTAGCATGGTTGACTTTCTCGAGTTGTGTATTATTTACATTGATTGGATTGAATTCCTTGTCTGATTTAGAAGCGTATCCTGAGTTCTTTCAATTTGATTTTATTGAGCTGGAACTTATCTGCCTTGGTTTTATTGCAAAGTTCGTCGATAGCTACTTGGATCATGTTTGGTTTGTTCTTTACCTCACTCTCCGAGATTGTAATATCGTGACGTACTTCCAGAGTCGCACGCCGGGAACACTAATATTATTTATCATCGTTAGGAACAACCAAGGGCCTACTTTGGTCCCTTGTGGGAACCTGGCAGGGATGGATCGCTATTCGGAATAGCAGCCTTGTCCCAGCTTGACTCTTTGTTTCCGACCTAGAAGGAAGTTAGATATCCCACGTATGATCGATTCTGGCAAATCAAACGAATGCAGCTTACTCACCAAAATTGAATGATCGATTAGGTTAAACGCTTTTCTAAAATCGAAGAGAACAATTCCAGTTGCTGCGTCGTTGCCGTCGGTATCATTGGCCCAGCGATGGATCATGTCGATGAGGGCGTCTACAGTTGATAACCTCGGAATAGCGCCGAATTGTTGGTTGTCGATTTCTTCTAAAACGGCTGGTTTTACAAACCTCTCCACTACGAAATCTTTTGCCAGCTTCGACAGGAGTGGGGTCAGCGGAATGGGTCGCAGATGCTTGTTTTTATCAAAAATTGGCTTTTGTTTTGGAACAGGAATGACATCAGCCTCCTTCCACGCGTGGGGGAGATGGAAATGTTCAGAAAATCACAAATCGGCTCTGCAAGCAAATCTGCGTTTTCCCTTATTAACCATCCAGGCATCCCATCAGGTCTTTGGGCCTTAGTGGTGTTGATTGCGGAGAGAGATTTAAAAACCTCCACTGAGGTAACAAATAGACTAAACTCAGAGGGCGGGACCAGTGAGGTTGCTTGTTCGGCTAAGGGATGAAAGTCCTTCATTGGTGTTAAAAAACCTTCATTGACTCGGTAGTGCATGAGATGTCAACTAAATCACCAGTGTTTCCAGTGTTTCAGCGCTTAAGAGACTTAATGATACTATCCTTAGCGCCGGATGTTTTTGACTTGCCGCTAAGTTTCTTAACTTCGGTCAGTCCACCACTGAGCTGGTGAACTCTCTTTCAAGTGTTCAATCTTGCAGTTATGGTATTTCGATCGGCACGCCTTGCGCTCACGGCTTACAAGTTCCTTAATCAGCGAAACTCGTTCTTATTTCCCAAACTAAGACCTCTTTGGCGCTTATTAATTAGAGACCTAGGTCTCTGGTTAATCCATGGTGGTTCGGTCATGAATAATTATGTCCTTAGAGGTGCTACCGTTAAGGTGAATATTTTTCTTCACAGTGAGTTTATTTTTAAGTTGTCGTTCTCTACCTACTTTCCTACTCATAGTTAACTAATATCGTAGACTAGACTAGACTTAGAATATCGTGGATATTCTAAGTATACAACCGGGTCGTTTGATTCTCAGCAATGTGAAGGAATGCGATCACGTGCGCTTACCTTTGAGAAGTCAAGGATAGATCACGTGGGCTTAGTTCAAATATGTTTCTCTCCAGCGGCAACTGTTTCGCGCCTCCCGGTTAGATAAGTCGGTTAGACCGCTGGACTGTTGTGCGGGAGGTCGAGGTCGAGGTCGATGGTTCGAACCCCGGCTGGACCAACACTCAAGTCTTAAAATAGCTGACGAGAATGTGCTACCAGTTATACAATATCAAGAAATGGATAGACATTCTAGTCCTCTCGGATAAGGACGAATAAACCGTAGGTCCCGTATCCTGCATCTATTAATTAGTTATACTGTTAAGGCAGGGGACGTTAAAGAACCCACTCACGAGATTACTGTGATGTGATCTGGCCTGTTCACTAGGAATTGGAGGTAGGGGACATCTTCAATTAAGTTTCCTTCGATTGTTTGTAAACAGCTGATGCAGTCCGGCCGAAGTCCCTCGAAAAGTGTTTTGATGCGCATTTGATCATAACCACATGTTAATTTGCGCAATATATATATTAAATTATTATCATTATTGTCTCCAAATTAACAGTCTACCTGTTTCGGTCGTAGTACGGAACACTCAATCCCTAAGAGTGAGAAGTCATCTAATTTCTCCTTACAATATCAGAGCTGAATTTATCAATAGGGTCAGAAGAATAATGGAAATGATCATCAAGTTGAGAAACTATTGATTGCTAATCAAATTCTCCTCATCGGCGCCTTCAAAAATTTGAAGAGAATAGTATGGAGAATACTGCTGTTAGGGTGTAAAGGATTTAATTATTTAGTGGTGTAAAGAAAGAGAGCATGTCTACAGATGATCTGTTTTCCGAGTGAGCGCGCAAATCACGTCGCCTAAACAACCGGTTCGTTTCAAACTCAGAGGGAGTTGTCAAATACAAGGTATTTGCAGTACAGTATAGTTATATGATAGAGTCCAAGATTAACGTGACAGAACGAAAATTCAACCAGGGTAGGTGTGATGGCAAGTTTCTTATTAAGTTTGGAATTTAGATACTAGGAAATACTAAATGAATTATTGTTATAATTTTTTCCCATTTAAACAAGGGTATGGCTTATTGTGCTTCCCCCCCGTCAAGTTCTGTTAGCGGAGCCATTCATACTTCCTAGATTAAAGAAGAGGCATCCTTTCCTTGATTCACCTTTCCTCACANAGTTAAGTGTAGTGTCGGTTTTTTTCTCGTCTCATTATATGATCAACACTGACAGAATTTTACCAATATATGAGGGTGGACATAAAAATTAGCGAATAGTTTTCGTAATTCAATGAAGTGAGCAAGCTTAACTTTCATTAAAAATCCGTTTCTCCTCGTACAAACCTCCATAAAATAAAATTCCCCACAGGTTGCGAGGCGGGAGTCCGAAATGTTTTATTACGCTGTTTACTTGCACATGTCACATATCACATCTCTTTTCACATTTGACATTTTCCTCACTGAAAATGGCTAAAAATGAAAAACATTCATCCCCTTTCAGTGAGCCTTGGTCGCCTTTAGGTCAGATTGATGTATTAGGGAACAGTGATGAGATTTGTTCTCTTAACTCATATCCATCCATGTTATCCTCCGGGTCTGACATGTGTAGACGTAAATCTCCCCCATGCGTGAAAATCCTTAATACTTGCCTTGAACACGTCACGTGACAGAGGATGGGGTAACATGCATTTCTTTAATCATATGATGATGATGATGATGATGATAATGATTGTTTAATTCCATACACTCGCAGCTAAGGCTGAATTACAGTATAGGTCAGTATTACATAGGTACTACATTAAATATACATCTTATTGATAACGAACAGTAACAAAATAATTAAGTCTATCTGTGGCCCCCCCTAAACCGATCTACTCGAGCGTTACCGGCTCGCAAAGAATAACCGTGATGCACCTCTGTGATGCGAGGAAGGATGTAACTTATAGTTTCAGTCCTCCTCGCCCCAGTCATGAACCTGGAACCCAGTTCAGCTCTGCGAACCACGAGGGGTTGCAGCCGAGCCCCACTAAGGCCAGATCCATTGTCAAGACGGAGAAAAATTATCCTAAGTGCTTTCCGTTGTACTAACTCGACGAGCTCATTATGGTACTCAGGGAGATATGCCTAAACAGGCGCCGCGTACTCCAAGATCGATCGTATTAGTGAACAATAAATAAGCACACTAAATCTGTCTGGGGGACATCCTGCCTTCCCAAGAACCCTAAAAGCGTAAAGGCGCTTGCTTGTCTTCCTCACAATGTAGTCAATATGGTTGTTCCAGGAGAGATCTGAGGAAATATAGACACCGAGTAAGTTGTAACTATCTGCCTGACTGATACTAGTACTCCCAAGAACCAAGCCTTGAGGCGGAGGCAGGCAGATAATGAAGAAAGTTTACTGGGAGCTCTTTACATTTCTTGGGGTTTAAGCGCAT